TTTACCATGTGATTCTGGGGTGGGAGTGTGGGAAAAATGGCTGGGTCATTTAACAATATACAAGGTATTGTGCTATGGCTTATACAAATGTGAACTCAAATTTTCTAACTCCAGAGGCAACTTGTAAATTTTAATGGAGAGCACTGGCTTCAACATCATGAACATGAATAATAATAACAAAGATTTTTTTTCAAGGTTTATTTTGAGTTCAGGTTCACAGAGGAAAATATGATGACGTCAAATTCACTAATCCTACCTCTGTACTTGATTTCCAAATCAGAGACAACCTTGAATCAACTTCAACCTGTATCAGTTTAAACATTCTCTACAACAATGGAATTGGCCATAAGGATGAAGTCGCAGAATCACAGGCAAAATCCACAGATCAAGTTTCACTCAGGGAATCATAACCGTCCAAATGGTAGTCTACATTAACTTAGTCACTCATTATTTGCAAGAGTATTAGCTCTGAGATACATACACACACACACACACACACACACACACGTACATATATATAACACTGAGAATCTATAAACGCACACAGGCTTAAAACAGATACAGAATTTAAAACATCCTATTACATACCTGCTTATGTTTCTACTGTACTGAGTGTATTTATATGGATATTATTTAAGAGAACATGTAAGTGTAAAGAGAGAAAGCAAAAGTTTCCAGGTCAGAATTATATGTAACTCAACTATTTCTAAGGTTCCAAGGACCAACTATTAGGGTATATTTTATGAAAAAATAGGAAATCTGGAATTATACTTCAATATAATTATAAGCATTATAAGGATTCTGGACAGTTCACTTCCAAATATTCAGCCCAGGGTCAGACTATACAACTCAACTTTTAGTTTGTGAAATGAAGACACTGAAGACAGGAGCAAATTTTCTTCTAGCAAGGAGGGATCAATTAGCTATGAAGAGACACCATTCTTCTCTAAAGGCATAATACCTTACCTCTACGAAGCTCTGTCTCCTGCCAGCTAATCTAGTTTAGGCTAACTAAATTCCACAAAACAATACCTTGCCCTATCTAGTACTACTCCATACACATAACTACTTATGATTCAATAGCATCAGAACAAACCACAAGGGGCCAGCCTGTGGCTCACTCGGTAGAATGCGGTGCTGATAACACCAAGGCCACGGGTTCGGATCCCATGTAGGGATGGCCGGTCTGCTCACTGGGTAAGTGTGGTGCTGACACCACCAAGTCAAGGGTTAACATCCCCTTACCAGTCATCTTTAAAAAAAAAAAAAAAAAAGAACAAACCACAAAATCTGTTTCAATGTAGAAAATATAAATGAGTCATCTACCTCAAGCCCAGCCAGAACACTGGACAAAGCAACATATCAATGCATAAGCTGTTGCCAGTGAGATTTATGCTGCCCTAAATGGAAGCACCCTGACTCAAACCGGGAAAGTCTCCTGTCTAGTTTGTTTTCTGCTGCTTATAGCAGAAAACCTGAAACTGGGTAATTTATAAAGAAACAAAATTCATTTCTTAGTTCTAGAGGCTGGGAAGTCCAAGTTCATGGGGGCGCATTTGGTGAGGGGCTTCTTACTGGTAGGAACTCTTTGCAGAGTCCTGAGGCAGTGCAAGGCAATCACATGGTGAGAGGGCTCTTAACACTGTAACAATGGAGATTAAATTTCAACATGAGTTTAGAGGGGACAAATATTCAAATCATGACAATGCCATTTTTTCATGGCTAATATTCTCATTTCCCTGTTTCTCCCCAGCCTTGCTTTGAAGGTATGTTCCCTACCTCACTATAAGTACATTAAGGAAAAAAAAGAAGTAAAGATTTCATGGGACAGCCACTGACCCCAGAGACCCCTGGACCCTGCACCTGCCGACAGTGCCTGTGCAGCTGTGGCTGTGGTAAGTTTTTGATATAGGAATCCTTCACTCTTCCTGGCCATTCTTTGCTTGGGAATAGCCTTAGCTGTTCCAACACAAGATCACAGTTTAGATGCACAATGGAACTTCTGCACAGTAGAAGGCAGAATACAGGAAAACATACAGACCAAGTAAAAAAGGATGGAAAGCAGTGTGGGAGATGAATATGAAAATGACTGAAGAGCACAAACACAAACACAGCCAAAGGAAACCTGGCTTCCCAGCAGCAATGAATGCCTCTGGTAACGTGTTACAAATCTCCCCTACAAAATGGCAGCTCTTCAAAGCTATTCATATGGTCCACAACCCTTCTGAATAGCCGTATCAAAATATGCCAAAGTATATTTTGGGGGTAATTTTTTATGTGTCCTTCATAGGTAATCTCTCACTCAAACAGTTCACAGACATTCTTCAGGGGCTTCAAGGTCTAGTTTGTTCTGACAATTTTTAACTTAGTTACTTAGGACTTCTCTAAGCTCAACAAAATTCTACAGCTCACAGGAAGTAAGTTTAGGAAGCTCAATGTGGCTTAAGAGGGGTATCACTGGTAACAGTGGATTTAGGGGTCTGCCAAGCAGAAAAAGGATATGAAAAGGTTCAGGAATCTCTTCCCTTCCTCACATGTCCTCTCATCTCAAACACTGGCCGGAATTCCAACCCAGTACTAGTGAATACCAAAGAAAAAGGCACTTTCAAACATCAAAATTGAGCAATGCACCCCAAAATGCTTTGCTTCTGAGAGGAAAAAACAAACTCAGTTTCTCCTCCTCTACTCTCACAACAAATCATTTCTGTGACCTCTGGTCACCAATTTTCTCCCACCAGCAACCAGTTCTCTGGCAGATTCTTCAGTGGACACCAACTGAATGTCCTGTTAATTCAATTCAATTCTGACACTACCTGCAGATAGTATCAGATCCCACAGGTGAGGGCTCAGCCCCACAAGACTGTGCCCCTACTTTAGATGCCAATTGCAAGTTACAGGTTGTCACATGTGCTTCTGATCAACGGGCTATATACTGGGGTTTCCATGAGCCCCTTTCTTGGGTTCAATTAATTTGCTAATACAGCTCACAGAACTCAGGGAAACACATACCTTTAGTCATTAATTATAAAAGATATTACAAGGATACAGATGAACAGCCAGATAGAAGAGTTGAATAGGGCAAGGTATGGGAGAAGGGGCATGAAGCTTCCATGCCCTTTCTGATCACACCACCCTCCAGGCACCTCACGTGTTCAGCTATCTGGAAGCCCCCTGAACATTGATCTTTTGAGTTTTTATGAAGGCTTCATTACACAGCCATGATTGACTAAATTACTGCCCACTGGAGATCAACTTAACCTTCAGCCCTTCTCCCCTTTCTGGAGAAAGGAGGTAGGGCTGAAAGCCCTAATCCTCTAATCCCACCTTGGTCTTTTCAGTGACAGCTCCCATCCTAAAGCTATCTAAGGGAGCCAGCCATCAGCCAACTTATTAGGATACCAAAAGACACATAACTTTGGAGATTCTAAGGGTTTTAGGAGCTGTATGGCAGGATATGGGACAAAGAACAAATGTATATTTCACACAACACACACACACACACACACTCATCAGCCAACTTATTAGCATACAAAAAGACACATAACTTTGGAGATTCTAAGGGTTTTAGGAGCTGTATGGCAGGATATGGGACAAAGAACAAATGTATATTTCACACAACACAAACACACACTAATCAGCCAACTTATTAGTATACAAAAAGACGCATAACTTTGGAGATTCTAAGGGTTTTAGGAGCTGTATGGCAGGATATGGGACAAAGAACAAATGTATATTTCACACAACACACACACACACACACACTCATCAGCCAACTTATTAGCATACAAAAAGACACATAACTTTGGAGATTCTAAGGGTTTTAGGAGCTGTATGGCAGGATATGGGACAAAGAACAAATGTATATTTCACACAACACACACACACACACACACATCTCCTGGACAACTTGGTATATGTAAAAATCTTTCTCTAAATATTCAAAAAGGCTAACCAAAGAGTAGCACAGAGAGAGAGAAATTTAAGATGGCAGTTTAAGACTGAATCAAGAGTAAAATCCAAGTCTCCTTTCATCTAATCAATAAAAAAACAACTTCAGATTTAAAACATCTGCTATCTTTGGAAAGATGTGCTAATTATAATTCAGAAATTGACTTTTTATATAGGTTTTAGAGAGAGAAACATTGTTTCACTCTAAAGCAATCAGGATTCCTGCCCTATAACTGGTCCATTAAGGCACTAGTGGTTACAAGGCCTTTTTCAATATTGTTCACATTAACAGTTTTTACCAAGAATGAGTTTTCTGATGAATGGTACAATTGAACTGTTGCTAAAACCTTTCCCACAAGTGGGACATTCGTAAGGTATCCTCCTAGTGTGGGTTCTGATGAACAATGAGAAGCGAGCTCCAATTGAAGCTTTTCCCACAAACTTAACTCTTGTAAGTTCTTCCTCTTCTGTGGGCTCTTTGTTGCATAGAAAAAAACTGAAGCTTTTCCCGTACTGGAAGCAACAATATGGTCTCTCTCCCTTCTCGGTCGTCTGATGCATCACAACTTGGGAGCTGCAACTGAACCTCTGACCACACTCTGAAGATGTGTGGGGCCTCTTGCCAGTGTGCATCCTCTGGTGCTGGAGCAAGTTGGAGCATAGCTGAAGTTCTCCCCACACTCCTGATACTCAGGGCTTCTCCCCACTGTGAAGTCCCTCATGGACAATCAGGCTAAAAATCTAGCTGAAGGTCTTCCACGACTCACAGCACTTGGAAGGCTTCTCCCCATGTGTGTTCTCTCAAGGGTAGGGAGATTGGAGCTCTTGCTGAAGTTCTTGCCACATTCTTCACAGTAGTTTGGGTTTTCACCAGTGTGTACCCTCCGATGGGTGATGAAGGCTGAGTTCTAGCTGAAGGACTGCTCACAGTCAGGGCATTTATAGGGCTTCTCCCCAGTGTGAGTTTACTAGTGACTAATAAAGTCTGGACTGTTACTGAAACTTTTCCCACAGTCTGGGCAATAATAGTGTTTATCTCTTGTGCAGATCAGCTGATACTTAAGAAGTTGTGAGCGTTGAGTAATATTCCTATCACACTTAGAACATATATATGTTCCAAGACCCCTCATGACTTGCAAATAACCTTAAAGTGCCCTCCTTAGGGATGAACTTTCTCTGCCGATGTTCCATGGATGTCATTTCACATTCAAAAGCAAAGTCTTTCTTTGATAATACTGTCCAGAAGCTAAAAATGCATTATCCAGCAACAGTTCAAGAATGTTCTTTTCTATATTGTTGTCTTCCTTCTCACTTCTTATTTCAAAACCTGAAAGAATGAAGAGAAAATGCAGTTATCTTATTTTTCATTGTAAGATCAGAATTAGGATTAAGGGGCCTTAAGAGTTTTGTTTTTAAGATTATTTACCTTAGGGTTCTGCACATGACACCTTACGATTTAGACATTTCTTTTCAAAAATAAAGCAATGTTTTGTTTTGTTTTTTTTTCTGTTGGTAACGCAAAAGATGCAGATAGTACCAATATATACTCATTCAATACATGCTATTTGATAATCTGCTTTTGACTTCAATATATAATAGGTATTTTCCATGCTCCAAATTTAGATCTACACCATTATTTTTATTTGCTTCCTGGTATTCTAGTACATGGATTAAAATGAAGTGGCTATGAGCATCTCTTTTAGATTGAGAGAGTCATGAGTTTGAATCCCGACTTCACCATGTGCTAGCGTGGCTCCTTGGGCAAATTATTTAATCTCTCTCTCTCATTAACTGAGAAAGGGGATTATAACATCTATGATAAATATGTGATAATTAAATAAAACAATGCCTAAAAAGAATTTTCAGAATGTCTAATACATAATAATAGCTTAATAGATGATTGGCACTATCTTTGAAAAGATAACTTATTTTAAATAATTACCTATAATAGGCATATAGATTGCTTCTAATTTTTCCTTTAAAAACAATAGCACCATATATCCCCTTTTATATAGAATATTTTCCCATTTGTGTAATTTTTTTTTAGGTTTAATCTATAAATAAAATTCCTGAGTCAAAGAAAATGAACAACAAGTGTTTCTAATCTCCACCAAAGGTTTCACAACCTTAAAACTGAGGAAACTATAATACATAGGCAATGCAAAGAAAAGGATTAAAGCAGAGTGCCATGAAATGAAGAAAACAGAAAAGGTACAGTCTAGCTTGTGGAAATTTTATTGTACAGAGGAGATAGAGGGAAGAGAGTTTAGTAGAGAAGTTAAAAGTATACACGAGCTCTAAAGTCAGATAGTCTAGATACTCTTATCTGTCCATATTAGCTGTGTAACTTCGGACAAATAACATCAAAAGAAAACCCTAGTAAATATGAATAGTGTATTTTCTTAACTGTGTGGAATGAATAAACTAACGTGAAGGGTTTTGCATAGTGCCTAACCCAAGTAAGTGCTCATAGTTGATAAATATAATACCAGCAAAACTAGAAAATGAAATAGGAAACAGCAGAGCACAGAAAAAGAGAGCACCCCAAACTAATGCTTCAAGAAAAACATATTCTTTATATTAAAAATGGATGATAGCACACAAAATAAGAGCAAGAAAACTAAAATCAGCCGAGTTCTAAACAGATAATACTGTCATGCTCAAGAAGTGGCTAATTTGGTGACAAGTTTTTAAACTTTTCAGTGTCTCATTTTCCTCATCTGTAAAACTAAATGGTAATAATGCAGTAGTAGCCATCTCACAGGGTTATGGTGGTGAGTTGAACATAAAGAACTAAGAACACTGAATGGTATATAATAAATGTTTAATAAACATTAGCTATCAATATTATCATCATCACCACTACTACCACCATTGAAATGCAAGGATAGTTTGACTTTAGGAAAAGAGAAAACCCACAATCACTGTAATTGCTGCTGGAAAGGCATTTCATAAATTTCAACACCCATTTCTTTTAAAAATGCTTAGCCATCTAGAAATATAAGGGAGTTTTATAGGTATTAAAAAAGAAAAAAAAACTATAGCAAATATCATTCTTGAAGGATGTCTACTATTACTGCTTTCATTCAGTATTTTTCTGGATGTCTTACCCAATGCAATAAGACAAAAACAAGAAACAAGACATATAAATTTTAGAAAATAAGAGACAAAATTGTTTCTTTATAGATTGCTTGCAGTTCATCTGAACAGCCAGAAAATCTGAGGCTGGGAAAACTATTGGAATTAACATCTAAAATTCAGGACAAGCATTGAAACTGAGTCTTCAGAGAGATGGCCTAATATAAAAATAACATATGCTGATATGTCAAAGAGATCATAGATGTGAAGCTCTTGGTAAATTTTGGGTGCTGTGTAAATAAAAGATATTTGTTTTTTAAAGAAGAAAAGCCAACATATATAAAAGTCAGTAGTTTTGCTATATTTGCCAGTAATAATTGTATCAGGGTTCTTGGTTACAAGAACCTAATACTAGTCTGTTTAAGCAAAAAGGAAAATTATTGAGGTTTACAGAATTAATAAAAGGCTGGAAAATGAGGGTTGGAAAATAGGGAAGAATTAATGGTGCTAGGCAGCAGGAATCATAACAAATAATAACATAGCAAGAAAAGCCTAATAAAATAAAGATAGCATAACTAAAAGAAAAAAAGAGTAACCTAACCATGCAATAACATCCTTCACTGCAATGAATTCACCTCCAACCACCTCCAAAAATTTTTATCAGGATCAAAGTTCCTAAAAACACCTGATTAGCCAAAGCCACGGCAACTGCCCACCCCTTTGTGAGCCACAATGAGAGACAGTAAGGAGTAACCTACCTTTTAGACTTTCATGGACAGAGGCAGACACTATTTCCACATATGATGGAGGAATTACCCAAAAGTAAAATCAGGATGCTTTGGGAAGGAGGTAAAGGCTGATGCTGGGCAACCAAAAAGAAAAATGACAGATTTGAACACAGATTTATTAAATATTGTTGTCATCAATGTTAGATTTTTTAGATGCGGTAACAGCATTATCGTTCTGTAGGAGAATATTCTTATTCTTAGGAAGTATGTGACAAAATAAGGGTAAAATGTCATAATTTCTGCAACTTTCAATTGTTCCAACAAAATAGGAGCAATAAAGCAAGTATGACAAAATGTTAACAACTGGTAAATCTAATTCACCATGTCCAGAACAAAGGCTTAGGGCATCACTATATTATTCATTCACCCTTTTCATTGGTTTGAAAATTTTCAAAGTAAAAAGTTTGAGCAAATCTTAATACACAGAAACTAGTATGACCTAAAAAAATATTAAATTTTGATATATTGGCTTTGTAAAGAAAAATTGTATCAAGACTGGCAGATGGTAGTCATTAAGTCAGATATGAGGTTGCAAGAACTGGCAAGGCTTCCAGAAGCCTGTTTGGCACTGTTAAAAAAAATTTTTTTTAATTAATTGCCAACATTTAAAAATAAGATTTCCCAAAAATAAAATATCCTGACTTCTATCTTGTCCTGAAAACCTAGAAGATCTGTAAGTATTAGGTCTGCTTTACTACATGAAACCAACCAGTGAGGACTGAGCAAAGACTCAGTTCACTTCAGTTTGCAACTCTCCCTATTGCTTACACCTGGCCAGAGTCACTCATTTACATTAGACAATTGGGGTTGAATTCTTGTGGGCATTTAGATTATGATTTGTGATTTCAAATAGTAAGTACTTGCTAAACACAACCTATTACCCATGCAATTAGCTACTGAATGCACAACCAAATGAATTTCCTAATCGAAAAAAGTAGAAATGTTTTCCAAAAAGGAAAAAAAAAATAGTCACAAAGAAACTTTTCCAAATTCTAGGGAACCTAGTCCTGAGATATTTTTTCATACTTTGTAACAATTTTAACTCTTTTTCCTGCTTCTACCCCAAGAATGATATAAGAAGACTTAGAGGAAGAAAGAAAACATTTCCATTTTTATAAGGTTAGAAGGCTCTGGATTCAAAGGAAAATTACTCTAAGGGGCCTAATATCAGATGAAGCCACCAAATCAGGAGTTATAACCAAGATAAACTTTGGAAATTCTATGATAAAGTAAATAAGCAAAGAAAAGGCAATGTTGTACTCACTCAGAAGTCACAAAGAGAAAGAAAGAAAAAGGAAATTGATTTTGTACAACGCACCCGAGAGAAAGAAGAAATGTATTACAAGGCACCCAGGTTCAAATGCACAGGAAGAGGATGGGTGAGACTAAAAACTTGACCTGCCATGGAAAAGAGACCTAAGGTTTAGTTCACCACAAGCTCAATATGGGCCAATAGTATGGCACAACTATTAGAAATACCAACAATGGCTAAGGAGAAACACACATTGTTTAATTTACTTGAAGAGCTATCATCTGGAATATTGTTTATCTGTCTTGAAGGCAGAAGTAGAATCTATTAACAAAAGTTAAAGGGAGGCATATATATAGCCTAATATAAAGACCTTTCAAAATAATTAGATCCACACAACAATGTAGGAGACCACATCATGAACATTTATAGAGAAGCTGAATTACCATGTGTTTGGTATGGGGGAGAAGGGATTGGAGCATGAAGTCCAAAGTTGAAGAAAACGACCTCTAAGGTCTCTTCAAACATAAGCAGTTTCAAATAGTGGAAAGATCAGAGGCTATGTTATCAGTTTGACCAAAGTTTGAATTCTGGTTCCATTACTTAACTACTACCTGGCTATGTTCAAAACTTACTAGATGTATGATGTCAGAATCAAAATGTAGCCATGTGTGACAAACTCTAATAAAAAATAAAGCCAGAAGGCTGAGAAGGGAGGGCATTCACACATACATGCCTATAAGAACCATTACAAAGATTTACACATATATGCCTGTAACAAAAACTTTTGCCAAGGACTTTTCCAACCACAACTTGCTACATGAGTCACAAGGACAGTTAGCCAGATGTACAAGAACACTTGCTTGACACTGCCTCCACTAATGAACTGGCATCAACTCCTTTGTTAAGTCCCTGTAACCAATGTTCTCCTTGTTTAAAACCAAATTATGTAAAAATTTTCTTGTTTGCCTTTAAAAACCTTTGTCTTCCTTTATGCACATAGTTTTGTTTTGGGGGGTTTTTTTTTGGCAGCTGGCCAGTATAGGGATCCAAACTCTTAACCTTAGTGTTATAGCACTGCACTCTAACCCACAGAGCTAACCAGCCAGGCTCCTATGCACATAGTTTATTATGGCACATGTATTCCTACTGCAATGTCCTGGCCCAAATAAACCCTACTTTATATATTTGATCTCAGTTTCTTTTTTAGGTCAACAATTACCTTGGGCAAGTCATTTAACTTCTCTGAACCTCAATAAATCCACATCAATAAAACAGAGACTATGATATTGTAATTATAAAATAAAACCATATAAATACAGCATTTAGCAAAATGCTTATCATCTACCATGTCTTCAATAAATAAATGATAATTTAGTCATTTATTTGAAAAGCTTGCTCTGCAAATAACATCTTTGTGTATACCACACAATAATTTAGACTTATAGTACTTGTTTAACAGAAAGTTTGGGCCGGCCCGTGGCTCACTCGGTAGAGTGCGGTGCTGATAACACCAAGGCCACGGGTTCGGATCCTATATAGGGATGGACGGTTTGCTCACTGGCTGAGCATGGTGCTGACAACACCAAAGCCAAGGGTTAAGATCCCATTACCGGTCATCTTTTTAAAAAAAAAAAAAACAGAAAGTTCTATTTGTAATAACTTTGTTTCTCTAAATAAATGGAATATTTATGACAATCAGACCTTTCATATAGGTCAGATCATATGCTCAAGGCACTTGATGACATCTGGTGGCAGTTTACCTACATAATGCAATTTAGTTTTGAAAGGCTCTTCAAAATGCAAACCTAACATTCTGTAGATCTCATGGCAGTTTTTGTCCAGAGATAGACATTGACCTTATAATCTCAGGAAATCCAGTTACTAATTAAACATAGTAATTTGAGAGGCAAACTTACCAAGCAACTTTAGAAAACACTTTTTAAAAATCAACTATTGTTTGCTTCTGCTTACTTGCCACATTCCAAAACCTTAGCCAGATGGAGACTCGGCTAGGAGTTCATCCAGAAAATGGAATGATTATTTTGGGAGATAATTATGGGGGAAGAGGATGTGAGGAATAAGAGAAATCTGGTTGAAGAAGGCTTTGTGATGTAAATATAAAAAACCATGGGCTCTGGAGTTAGGAAGACCTGAATTGATTTCTAGCATCATCATCATTCACCAAACATGCGACCAAAAGGAAGTTTCTGATCCTCGATCCATTTTCTTATCTGTAAAATGTGAATAGCACCTAATTGGCCAGGTTATTAGGGGACAGTGTAAAGTTCAGTCTATTCTGCTGTAAAGCATGTGTCTATAACTCAAATTAGCTCCATGTGACTAGCATATAGGGGAATGAAGCCATCATTACACAGAAGTTGCAATGGTTCATATGTAATTTTTTCAGAATGTTACTGCCTTGCACCACCAACTAACAGCATCTGAACTTAAGCACACTAATGTAACTGAACGTAGCAAACTATGGAGTAATCGTATATGATTCATAGTGTACATCATACTCATTCACTCCACATTCTTCTTTTTGGCCACAGCTCTGTTATGGAAGTAACTGACATGAAATTTCCCCAGATTTTTGTGCATTTTGCTCTTATCTCCATAACTCAGCACCACATCTCTTCCCTACATCAAGCCACCTTCACCTTTTTAAGCTAAAGTCCCAAATTCAGTTATTTCTTTATTCAATAGTTTAACACGTCTATTTAAGTATGTGAGTTTTTTTCATTAGAATTGCTTTTGCGGGCCAGCCTGTGGCTCACACCACATTTTGACTCAGAGTTGTCAATTTAGAATATTGCCCTCTGTGCCATCATGAGCACTGGGATACAGCATTTCTTAAAAGAAGCCATAAATGTATTAAAAGACATTGGTGCTAGGCTTTGATGTCAGTTTTGCAATTATGTGTAACCTAGCTTACCGTGGCTCCTCTTCAGGAATGTGGCAGAATATACTTTATTCACTACTTTCCCTACAACCATTTCATTCCGGGAAGTTAAAACAGCACTCCCCTATTATCTCCAAGATTTTCTTTCAACCCATCGACACCCATTCTGCAAGTTTTGATGCTTATGCTTTTGATGTTTGCAAATGCACAGGTAATGACTTTATCACCACTGCCACCTGGTCAGAAAAGACTGTAAGCTGGCATCAGCTTCAAGACATTCCCATTTTCAAAGATTCCTAAAACATGAAAAAACGCACATCAAAGAAAATCAATGAAATAGGTAACATAGAATTATCCTTACATAATAGTACCTTATGACATTATTACTATTATTATCTTCATTTTACAGGTGGACTAAAGCACAGAGAAGTAACTTGCCCACGATCACAGAGTTAATCAGTGGGGGAACTGGGGTTCAAATCCAGAAGACTGGCTCTAGAGCCCATACTTTCAAGTAGCCCTTTGCTTCAAGGCAAACATTTACACTAAGGCAAATTTAGTGGTATAGATCATAATCAAAAACCCTAAGACCTACTGCTAGGTTTTAAGGAATTTAGTATCTATATAAAAGGCCACTGGCATAACTGCTCTAATTCACCATATCTTAAAAATCAGAAATGTTGGTTAATTCCAGCTGCTCGTTCTTCAAACACTCACCTGGGTGCATCTTCCTTGACGTCACTTTTTTTGAGACACAGCATTCTGCTCCTTGTTCCAGACTAGAGAGCAGTACAGCTTCTGAAAACTGGGATTCCTGCACATGAGGAAAGACAAGGAATGTGACTGACTGTATATAACTCACCCAGTGCTACTCCTAGACTCAAAGATCAGGGACAAGCTGTGACAAATGATTATGCCAAGTGATTCAAATTACCACTAATTAAGTCTTGGATAAAACTCTCTACCTTAGATAATATGGGCTTTTTTTCTGTTGGAAGCCTTTGATTAATGTCTATCTTCCCCAAGAAAACTGTAAGCTCTGTGAGGGCAAGAACCATCTTACTTTTCCCACCATTATATCACCAGTACCTAGAACATATATGACACACAGCTACGTAAAAACTAAATAAAAATTGAAATTATCTTTAAAAGCATATTCTCAAACATATTTGCTTTCTAAAGCAAGATGATAAGGAATGGGAATTTTTAGACACATAAAGACTGCTAAGGTTTCGTAGAGTTTCTTAAAAAAGACAATCTTCACAAGCTTAAAAAGAACAGAGAATTGCATAGATCCTTCCAAACCTTACTCAACTGAATACACAAAGGTTATCAAATTTACTTTCTCATCTAGGCCAGCAACAGAACCAGCCCAATGCCCACTGGAGGGTTCTGAGATGTGGCCAGGGCCTCAGCCCTGCCCCCACCACCATACATCCAGGACAACAACAGAGCTAGCCCTTTGCACCAGGGATCCTGAGACCCGGCTGGGCCAGGCCAGCCCAGCCTTGACCCGACCTGCAACCACATCCAAGAATATACTTATTAACCACGTGTTTCTTTGGGGCGTGTGACTTATCTTCATGTCCTTCACGAAATTGCTGCTTAGATGTTTCTAATTCATTTTTAAGAGTTCTTTTTGCAATAAGGATTTTAATCTTTGTGTGTTTAAAAAAAAAAGGATAGAATAGAATAATCATTACTAAAGGCTGGGAGGCATGGCGGGGGGAAGATTAGGGGTGAACTAATAGAGACAAAACTATGCTATCTACCCTAAATGAATCATTCTGCATGTATTGATATGCATGTATTGAAACAACACACTGTACCCCACAAAAATAAATATAAATAAAATTGAATGTAAAAAAAATTACTTCCCTTCAAGCAGCCCCCAAAAACTTCTGAAATCACACTTTCTACATATACATTTTTTTATTACTATAACATACACATAAGGTCTTACTCAGCCAACTACCCTGACTGCCTATTGCCAAAACTTCAGAAGCCAGAGAAAATAAACTTCTGGAGCTGAGAGAAATCCCCAATCACTAATTATAGTGATTAATCAGGAGTCACAACAAGGATTCAAAGATAAGGCTAAGATCCAATTGTCTTTGCCCCAGCCAAGTTTCCCTAAATAAGAATTAATAAAGTTCCGGGAGAAAAAATCATTTTGTTTGTCATTCAAGCAGACAATCGTTTGCCTATCTTTACTACTGGTACAAGATAAAGACAGCACAGCAATCAAATGATACAAAGTAAAATAGCTAAATTCATTATAGTTTAACTATGGAAGTAGCTTATTATCCCTGGATTTCAGAACTAGAAATTATATAATTATTGTCAGAGTTTCTATCTGAATGTTTATGGGGTGAGTTAAAACCTCAAGGCTTTCCTCCTTGACTGAAATTACTCCAGCCCCACCCTCACCTGTGTGGCTATTGCTTGGCTCCTCCTTACCGTAACTCTGAGCATCCAAGAGCCATGGCTCTTCCCCTTGTCCCAACCAAGGAGTAACTAATAATTAGATTTGGGGTTCTAAAGGCCTGTTAATAAGAAATTGAATGGGAGGTAAGAAGTTAAAACAATATTATCCAAAAAATCAAACTTCCCTCACTCTCTCCCCTCTCCTCACTCTCACTTTCTCAGTATTCAGCACTTCTCAAAGTTTTCCACTGAAACACCTGTAAAAGGTAAATGTTCAGGTATAGTAACTGGTCTTTTTACTTAACAGTGGGTGTTTAGTAAATGTTGGATGAATGGGTAGATGGATGGATATCATTTCAAAAGGTAACCTTTAGACCTGTGGAAAACCAAATTGCTCTTGATCCAACCCAAGGAAGCCCAAGGGTCTCAGCAGAATTAAATAAAGACAAAATAAAACAAAACAAAAACAAACAAACCAAACTGGAACTCATTTAAAAGCCATGTTTTCAGAGCAATCCCAAAGACATATCTGTCCAGATGCAAAGCGGCAGAACATAACTATTCATACCTCTCAAACACACCCAAGGCAATATGGAATCTGGGCCATCCAAAGTGGATCCTGAGTCTAGTAATAAGGACCAGAAATAAAGACACCTAGAGGTGGACCGGTTAGCTCAGTTGGTTAGAGTGCGGCCTTGTAACGCCAAAGTCATGGGTTTGAATCCCTGCACCAGCCAGTGCCCACCCCCACCCCACCCCCCAAAAAACCAACAATTTTTTAAATAGCCAGAATTGGTTGGCATGTTTTTGTCTGACTGTCCATACAAACATTTTCATGAACAGTGAAGTGTGCCATCCTGCCTTAGTTCCTAGAGCACATGGGTTCAAAACAGCAGACAAAATGCAATTACTCAAATATTAAACAAAAGAATAAACATTATTATGGCAAGAAGATAAATGAAAAATCTAGAATCCCACCTTTCTCCATAGTAAAATCCTGCCTTGAACTTCCCACAGGTCCGTGAGGTAGGTGTGAAGTAAAACATAAACCAAGAGTGGCAGACCTTGGGCTAAATTCTCCTCTTCCCTTGTTCTACATCAAAATATCCACAAGGAATATAAAGACTGAATACAATTGTGGCCTAAGAGTTTCACCTGAAGTTTCAGAAAATCTAACTCCAAAGCTCAAGAAAAATTTCTCCTCTGCTTTTTAATCAAAAAGTGATGCGAGACTGTGGCACTAGATCAAAGCAGAAAGAATAATCTTGGTGCAGCAGAATTGTGTATTCATCTTGTATCCACAGAACTTAATTCAGTAACTTAACACCAATAAAGTTGGATGGATGGATGGATGGATGGATGGATGGATGGACAGATGCAACGATGATTGTAATGACCTCTGCTGGCATCAGAGATGTGTATGGAATAGGAAACCCTAAAGTCTCTGAAGTGGTTCAAAAAGAGGTGTGAACCCAACTTCCTCTTCATTTCGGCTTGTTATACCTGAGCACAGAACAAGATCTGCCTCTCAGCTATGACCTGGCATGACCTAAATATGGCTCTAAAAACAGAGGACCGAATTTATTTTAAAGAATATTAAAACTCTAATTCGAACCTAATTTTAACTGTAACTTAATAGTTTTGGTAATAGTGTTGATAACAGCTAACTCTTGCATGGTGCCAGGGACTGTTCTAAGCAACTGAGGTATATTAATCCTCACAAGAAACATATGAGGTAGGTGCTACAAGGGAACTTGAAAAAGTTCATGAAAGATTTGTATTATCTTTTAATTCTATTTTTGTATAACTTTGTGAAGTACCCTCATATTATCTTCTTTTTACAATACAGAAAATAAGGCTAAGACAGATTAAGTTGGTTACTCAAAGACCCACAGCTAGAAACCCTAAGTCTGAAAACTTCCAAAAGAGAAAATCCTTACTTTTCTGCTCTAGAAATGGGATCAGTTACATCTTTTTTAGACTTAAAAATTGAGAGGCTGAACAGTTCTTCCGGAACAGGGGTGCATGGGGAGGAAGGTCAGGTCCAGGGACTCTTGATCCTTGCTTTTCAAGAAATGTCTTCACTTTCAGAATATGCCTTACATATGTCTCTTCTGAGTGCCTGGCTATTTGGTGAAGTTGTCAGGTCTACTGATTCTAAATCCATGAAAGTAGTGAAACTGTTTAGTGAACACCCTTTGAACAAGAGGAAGGAGACTTATGACCAGTATCCAGACCACAATACTTACTTTGCACTCATGGGGACACTCTGTTTTCTCGGCCTCTACAAGGATGAGCAAAGGCGTCTAAAGAAGCTTCGTGGAAAGGGGAAACCAAGGAAAGGAGAAGGGAAAATAGCAGCAAAAAAGAAATAGTGTTGGCCCAGCAAGAGAGATTTCTTCCTCAGTGACTGAGAGAAGAAAGTGTTATTTGTTGTCTTTCCACATATTGGAAGAATGTAATCTTCCTAAATTAAGGTTATTCAGAGAAACACAATCATCTCTGTGTTGAAATCTAATCCAATTAAATTGTGACTGGTTTCTCGAACACAATCTAATTCTGCAAATTTATTTTAGGCTTGGTTTTGTAATCTACATTTTACCTAATTTTCTAATGAAATGAGAATGTAAGTTATTGTTTAATGACTTTTGGGGTGTTTATGGGATGTTGGGGAAGTGGAAGGGAAACCTCATTAAATGAGTATCCTGAAAAAAGAAAAATTGAGAGGCTGAATTTCCTAGTCTTGATGGGGAAATGTTGCTATGAATTTCTAGGACATGCCCATATATGGCCATTAGTGCTGTTGACTGTTTTCACAACTAGCTTGAAATAGCCAATGCCTGCTCTACACAAATCATTCCTGTACTACCTAGGGAAGTTGGCTCAAACCTTCATCTCCCACTATCTGTACTTGGAAATGTCTCCCACCCCCTTCTTATGATATATCTATGAGAAAATAATCTTTTCCAGAAGGCTCTGAAAATGGATAGATGATACAGTAATATTAAAAGCCACTCCAGTATTTAAAATACCAACCGTGAACATATATCCTGATCCTAACCCTGGAAAGAAAGTCCTTTACCAACATTATACATACACTTTCTCTAGGAAAGGATATTGACATCACCCACATTTAGAAATGAGCTCTCTTGCTTTCTAAAGATATTATTGTCAACTGAGACTTTTTAACGAAATGGACGTTTTTCCCTTTTATAATTAATTTTTATATGAATAATTTCCAATACAGCAAATTCTCCCAAAAAAGTAAATAAATATATGGGGAAAATGTTACCAGTGGTAATCAAAGAAAAGCAAATAACAAGAACAATTCTTTCTGAGTGACAGGCTAAACTGGCCCTTTCTATTAGAGAGC